GACTCACAAGGTGAGGACGATACCAGCGTTGCTGTAGCGGCGGGTATTAAATAATTTCATCATGATTCTCGACGGTCACCTCTGATGTCAAATTTTGAGCAGAATAATATCTTAGACCAAAATATTCTTACTTAAAGACAAAAAGACCTGAGCTTTCATTGAATTTGATGTTCGAGTGTGGGAAAAGAGTATTGACCTGATGTTTATGTTTATGACCGGCGTAACAAATGTGCGCTCTCACACGTTAGAATCTGTGATTAAAGGCTCCCAACAACACGTCCTCTGTTCCTGTTGTGACCGACCCTAAATGTCCTCGTAACCCTGTGTGATAAAGCAAACATTATTTTATGGCGGCTCTAGTTTCAAGCCTAAAACACTGTCACTGCTGGCCAGAGGGACAGCAGAGGCCTGCTGGGACAGCTGGACAAGCTGCAGGCCCCTCAGTCTTTTGAGGCAGGAGGGCTGATAGAGTGGACTGCTTGAGTTCACAGATCAGCAGACCCTTCACCTCCAGATACTGCTTCACCACTCGCTCACTCCCACTGACTGGGATGACGTAACCAGGGGACTGATAAAGAAGGAGTGGATGACGTAGAGGAAAAGGAGGAAATATAAATAATAGGAACAGTAAATAAAGCAGAGGTCACACCACGTAATCTCAAGCCTAATTATGACCATGATTTGTCCGTGAAAGCTGGTGAGATTTATGAATCAAATCTCTCACCTTCAGACTGAGATTAGGAGGAGTCAGAATGGTTGTGATTTGAACAAATGGTAAGAGTTCAAATTACAACCATTCAACTGGAATCTAGTCAAATCCGTACAACATACGCATCCTCTATAGTTAGACCCTCAATTTATATGAAAAAATACTTAAACGGGAAACAAAAACAGCGACAAAAATAGAAATAAATATGTGTATCAAACTTACAATTGGGGAAAAAAAGAATGAGGATGAAGCAGTTCATTACGGACATGTTTTCTTGATCTTTTCATAGGTTGTTAGGATGCTTGGATTTCTTCTCGTGTGTGCCTAAGAGCAATAGAGTGGCCCTCTGAATACTTAAATTAAAAACGAAAGGACGTAGACAAGCAGCTGCTTTGTTTTAGTTTCATATTCCCAAAAGACTTCCTCCCTGTCTCCGTCCAGCTCCTACCTGTCGACTGGAGCTTATTGTGCTCTCTAATGTGTGTTTTTAGCAGCAGGCTGAAGGCCGTGATCTCATGCAACGGAGAAAGGTCCCTTTGACTGATACCGCTCTGGTCATTGCTGCTCAAACCCATAACCTTATACCTCTGCAGGCTGCTTTCATTAGCTCCACCTATATACTGTATATAATGCGCTTCTCTGTTATCCGATGCTATCTGGATCCATATGTGATCACACACGTGTTGATGTGTGTGCATTTTTCTTACTTTTACCTATTTTATCATGCTTTGCATGTTTTGCTCAGTTGAACTCTTATCAACTCTGAGGTTTCCCTCCACCACAGCTGCAGATGCCCAATCTTCAAACACACACGTATAGACGCGTACCAGTTCTGCGCTTGTCTGTCATTCGCACATCCATTCGTCTGGCCCTCCATTAGTCAGTTATTCCACCGATTCACCCTATCGCTGACATTATCAAACGACAGCAAGTTCTCATAATCATAATATACCTGGGCTGACTCTGACCCTTTCATACACACGCACACACAGATGCACATTAGAGTGGAGTAATATGCCCGTCATATCTGCTGGTGCTGAAGGCTGCTGCCATGGGCAGAAGGTCATTTTATGATGTGCCGTTGGGTGTGTGTGTCAGAGAGGCGGTGCGAGGCGATGGCAGACGAGGCGGGAGGCGTGTTCTCTCCGCTCTCTGTTTAGTGTAAACTCCGATAGGAGCAGAGTGCCAGTGACAGACTGAAGCCGGGGGGGGATTTCTGAAGCGTCGAGGCGGCTCATGGCGGCGTGCTGGAAGAGCTTGGAGAGGTGTTGAGAAGTTAGTGGGTGCAGATAGCTCTGAGAGTGTGACACTTGGCCGCCATAGTCTGTCGTTTTTTGGGGGAAATCTTTCAAGGAGGAGTCCTTTTTAGCTGTTTATGTCACACAGCTGATATTGTGCTTGTCTTTCCCTCAGCATTATATAAATACCATATTATTTAAGAGCACGTGTGTGTGTGTGTGTGTGTGTGTGTGTGTGTGTGAACCTGTCCTAGTCACACACCAACACGGAAAAGGGCTTATGTCTGGATTAGTGTGTTAGGCTGGATTCGGTACTACACACACACACACACACACACACTCTCCTGTTTACAGCCTCTCCCCTAAGAGCATGAGTAAGGCCTGCAATAGAATTTCTTTTCATTCATAATCAGCCCGTGTGATGGAGATCTTCACTATAAGCCTGCTCGCTCCCACTGTTACTGCACTGCTCTCATTAATGCATGCGCACACACATCGTGAAGCACATGTATGTTCGTGTGCTTCTCCATCTGTGGGCGTAAATATGCACATGCATGCGCGTATGTGTTTTCCTGTGTGGGAAAATGTGCTGTTGGTGAGGTGGAGCATGAAAGCGATGGTAAACAGAGGCCATTATCAGCGATAAAGCTCCGCTCCTATTATGTGGCTGTTTGACTTGTTGTACGTTTACTGTGAGAAAACCAGAGATAAGGCTCTGCAGAGAAAGTGAGGGAATTTTTGGAGGCACCAATTTGGGATTGGAGGCAGAAAGAGGCCGCGGGGGGAGCAAGGTGGTGGTGTCGTTGAATGGGAAAGGAACGGGTTAGGGAGGAAGTGGAAGACGGGCAGCGGAGAGGGGTGTGGGAATGGAGGTGTTTAGGGACTCCCTGTGGACTGACTCCGACATGGGAACACACAGTCGCCCGAACGAAGCGTGGCCACCCCTCGCTGACTTTATAGACACAGAGAGAGAGAGAGAGAGAGAGAGGTATTAGAGAGATGAGGGGGTACAGGTCTGGGACTGGCCTATATTGTTGAAAGACAGATGCTTGGGATGAATAAAGAGAGGTAGAGTCAGGTAAACAAGGAAAGAGGGTGTGTGTAAATACCTCGGTTATAGCGAAGCTTTAGCATGAAATTCACATTCACAGTATTCTCAGAGTTAAAGTTATCCATCTTTATAAATATCTTTATCTATACTTTATACGTCTGTTCTTCCCTTTGTGGGATCAATGAAGTTTATCTTTTCAAAGCCTTCTCTTTTGATCCTTGCAAAATAAAGAGGCCTTTCACCCAAATACAGTATACAAATAATGTCTCATTTTTCTAGACCATTTCCACTTGGCAGGCTAGTTTACTAAAAACTTTAACACCTTCCCAATCATGACCGCCGTTCAGTTGTTTTGCCGTCTGCTTAAAAACTGCCAAGAGCAAAATGACTTCCCAAAATGTAAATGAAAACGATACCGACATTCTTGTTGTCGTAGTTTTGGAAAACATTTGTGAACCCGACAAAAGGATGTGAGCTATTCCAACCGCAGCCTCGTGGCAGCAGGTTTTTAGTGACAGAGTGACTCCTGGACTCGAGTAGATTTGTTTAAAATCCGTTTTCATATAACAACACTGCTGACATTCAGACACTCTCTGTGTGTGACTCTTGTACGCAGTACAAACCGTTGCGTGTCACCATGCGCAGTTGCTTAAGATACCCAAACCAAGTCTGTCATTATACTGTCATACTTGGAGCATTACATCACCAGTCTGTCGCTCTCAGTCTACGTGGAGGCATATTCCTCACGAGGAGCACTTTATACAGGTCGTCATCAGCAGCCAATCACCGGAACTGAGCTCTCCCCACTTCAATCGGCCTATCTGTGATGGGAAGTGGTCAGATCAGCCGCCGCTCTCTGTCCTCTTTGGATGCTGACCGTTGCTCTCATTGATGAAGAGAGAGACTGAAAGACTCGCAGTAAGAAGGAGAGAGGGAGAGATTTGTCAGCCTTGCATGCGTTTGTGCAAGTATGCGTCTGTCTAAGCCATTACTTCCTGTTTAGTTTATTTACTAAAGCCCAGTTGTTTTCCCCCATTGAGTCGAAAGCACATTGAGTTTCCTCATCCCGCAATCTTCTTACCTCCGATCACGAGAGGAAGTAGGTGACTGTGGCCTTTGTTTGGCGTGGGTGAAGGTTTGAGGCAGAGCTTATATGGTTTGATTTGTAATTAAAGTTATTTCTTATGCTTTTTGTAGCAGCTTTTTCCAAATGTGAGGATTTGTCGTTTTTCATAGTCAATAGTGAACTAAATATCTTTGGGTTTTGGGACATTTTGTCAGACAAAAACCCAGATTTCTATGTGGTGTTTTATTATTTGTACCTCTTCTATAATTTGTATATCTATTTAAGCTATTTTGTGTGTGATCATTATGAATTATTTAATTTTATCGTACATCTTACTACTTTTAACCTCTGAAGTTTTGTCGATCCATTGTGAAGTGCATTTGATTTGTTTGAAAGGTGCTATATAAAGATTGTTTGATTGATCTATGGTTTTTTTTCACTAAACTGCATCAATTAATTGAGAGCATTCTGAGAAGATTAAGCAATAACGTAAATAATCAATAGTTGCAGCTCTTGTCCAAATGGCCTTGAGTGTTTTCATCTTGAAACGTGTTCCTCATTTGGTTTTATGCTACATTGGTCTTTGATAATAACCTTTTTAGTACAGTTTATAAGCACTAAGGAATTTAAATCAGTGAATTTGCATATCAGTGAGTCTGAAAATGCATTTGTTTAGCTGTGAATTTTTTGAACAGAGTTGGACTTTTCCTAAACTGCAGATAAAGATCAGTGGAAGAAATCGCAACACAACCTGTGTGATGTGACTTGACAATGTATTACCACTGTTACCCTAAACTTGAGCACGCTGCTCCATCTAGTGGCGCCTTTGTAGAACCTCCGACCCTGTGACATGCTGAGGTGTAAGAGTAAGTGCACCACACCAGTGGGCTGTATGTGAGCATCATTTGAACGTGTGTCTCGTCTCTTTGCTTTCAGGATGGTGATCCCTCTGTTTGATGAGGACACCGGTCTGCTCATACTGGCTGGCATGGTGAGATACTAATTATTATTATTGCAACTGTTTGCTTTTTTGACAGTCATGCTTTGCAGTACAGTGTAGTACTGAACGATGTTCCCTCTCACACAGGGAGAAGCTGTGATCGATTGCCTCGAAGTGTCTGCGTCTGAGTTCACGCAAGGTAAAGCTTTGTTCATCTGTCCGTTCCGATTATTACAGCTCTCCCTCCGGGTCTTTGATCCCTCTCTTTTTGTTTGTTTTTTCCTGTACATGTTATAGTGAGCCACTGTCTGACGGACACCTCATCACGCGGAGTTGCTTTGGTGCCTAAGCATGCGTTGGATGTCCTGTCCTGCGAGGTGATGCGTGTCCTTCAGCTGACGGACAGCTGCATTGTGCCGATCAGCTATCAAGTCCCTCGCAAGGTGCGTATGTGCACAGAAATGACTGACATGCCGACACGTACACCAGATTCATAACATTTGCAAGTGATGTATATCTTTGTTTTCACACCCGCATGTTTGTGTGTGCTTCATTGTCTTACAGCAGTCAAGCCAGGAGTTTCATGAAGATCTTTACCCAGATACAGTGGGCACGACTCCAGCCATGACTGCTGAGGAGTGGTGGAAGGGAGGGAACAAGCAGGTAAAGGATCTCCACTCTCAAGTTTATCCAGTCGTCACACTGAAGGGACGCCTCAAACTGTCAGCTCTGTTTGTCCTCAGGTGGAGAAAGTCAGCCTCCAGCCAGACAAGCTGCCCAAATCAAAGGCTGCACCAGCAAAAAAGAAGGAGCTGACCAGCGGGGGGAGCAAGGAGGTAGAAAATGTTTTAGTGTTACTGACCATTAAGGCTTCATCGACCGCCATCTTTTAAAAAAAATGAACTTAACGGCCACCCTGCTGTTCCACAGGATCCGGCCCGTGGCTGCTCCACCTCCAGTAGTCCTCTGAGCACTCCCAGCAGCAGCGCTGCCCCGTCCCGCTCTCCTTCCTCCACCTCCGGTCTCTCCTCAGGCTTCCTCCCCAGTCCCAGCCAGAGCACCAAGGCCATCCAGAGCCTGCTGGGTATAAACACACACACACACACCTAAAATCTCTCATTCCTCATTTTGGTGTCGGCCTTTTTATAATAATATTTCTTTAGTGACAAATCTGTTGAAGCAGAATTATCTCTGATCCAGGGCCGACCTCCAAGTTCCGTCACATCCAGGGTGCGGTGATGCACCGGGACACGCACATCACCAACCTGCGAGGCCTCAACCTGACGACACCGGGCGAGTCTGACGGCTTCTGTGTCAACCGCCAACGCGTGGCAGTGCCCCTCGCTATCTCCGGGGGCCAGATCGCCGTCTGTGAGGTACGGCAGCGGCTGGAGATTACAATTTAAAAACTGTGTTCAGTATCCATGTTGAGTGATTGAGTGACTGATTTGGGTCCTCTCCTCTCCTCAGCGCTCTCAGCCTGGCAGGCTACCTGACACTGCACTGCCCACCGTCGAAAACTCTGTTAATGTGGTGGACTTGTCTTGGGACCCCTTTAACGCACAGCGGCTTGTTGTGGGTAAGTGAATACGTTAGACTGTGTAGGTGTGACCTGATAAGTGTGTGTGTGTGTGTGTGTGTGTGTGTGTGTGTGTGTGTGTGTGATTTGACTCGCGTATTTCTATTCGTGCTAGCTGGTGACGATGCAAAGATCCGGGTGTGGCAGGTACCAGAGGGAGGGCTGAAAGAGACCCTGACTGAGCCTGAGGTCCTCTTGCAAGGTAGGACCGGGCCCACCTACCGAAATTACCTCAGTTTAGTTTTCTCTATAAACAGATTGTTGATTGACAAGCCTGACGAACAACAGTAGAAGTCAAGTTGATTGACAGCTGCTGTGACCCCCCTCGTAGGCCACACGGAGAAGATTTACTCCATCGAGTTCCACCCTCTGGCCAGCGGACTCCTGGCATCTTCATCCTACGATCTCACGGTCAGACTGTGGAACCTGGAGAACGGAGAACAGGTCAAACTCCTCACCGGACACCAGGACCAGGTGGGTGACCAAAATCTACGACTTTATCAAATCTTTGAACACAAGAGTAAAACATCATTTATGACAGTTTGGACATTTTGAATGTGTTCGCTTACACACACTGGAGTAAATACATCCACTGTCCATTGTAGCCTCTGAGCTTCCCGTTCTTCTTCCTTCTTGTTTCTGCTTGTTGCTTGTATTCAGATCTTTTGCATGGCGTGGAGCCCAGATGGCAAGCTCCTGGCCACAGTGTGCAAAGATGGGAAAGTTCGCATCTACGACCCCCGCAAGTCTACTGCGCCTGTGCAGGTATGTACAGCACATCAGAGAATATGGGAGCATGCAATTCAAAAAAAAGATATTTGTTTTTAGGTGTGTATTAGCACACGTTGTTTTTGTTTCATTAACTAATTCAATCTTTGAATAATTCTCTTATTCCTTCTTTAGGAGGGCCCAGGTCCTGAGGGCCACAGGGGAGCCCGTGTGGTGTGGGTGTGTGAGGGCAAGTACCTGTTGGTGTCAGGATTTGACAGGTACTGAACATGGAAAATACTTTCTTTGTTAAAGTGTTACAAAGCTGGCAAAAATATGTATTATACAGTATGTATAAGAGTGATGTCACTAACAAAACAGAACTATGTGAGCGTCCTGTTTTATTTCTACTGAAAACAGTTCAGCTGAGTGTTCAATTGTGTATTTAATGCATCGTAATTCAGTGGGTCGGTCAAAAGAAAAGCTCACCATGAACTCTTCCTTGTCGTCCTTCTGCAGTCGCAGTGAGAGAATACTTTCCCTGTACTCTGCTGACTCCGTGTCCTCTGGAGCCATAGCCTGCACCAGCATAGACACCTCTCCCTCCACACTCATCCCTTTCTACGACCCCGACACCAGCGTGGTCATCCTCACTGCAAAAGTAAGCAACAATAAAACAAAATATAACTGCATATAAGGCACATTTGAAGATCAAAACTGAGAACAACATGAGAATTAGATGCAACCTGTGTGTGTTTGATTTCTTTTCCAGGGTGATACAAGAGTGCACATTTATGAGATTGTCGCTGAAGATCCGTACTTCATGGAGTGCAGCAGTTATAACTCTCCTGAGCCACACAAGGTACTGAGCTGAACTCCCTCGTGCTTTCATTCATCTTAGTCATATTTCAATTGTCTGTCACCATACACCTGCATGCTGCACATGGACAGCCAGAGTGGTACGATACCCTTTGCTGAACTCTGACACTTCCTGATTGTTTCCCGTTTGCAGGGCTTGGCCTTCCTGCCCAAGTCAGAGTGCAATGTGCGTGATGTGGAGATAGCTGTGGGACTCATAATCACCAAGACGGCTATAGAGCCAGTGGCCTTCCGAGTGCCACGGGTCAAGGTGAGCCAGCTACACCACCTAGTTAACTTAATACTGCATACTTTGCTACCTGATGGTTATTTATAATAAATGGCTATTGCTTTTACGATATAAAATATAAATAACTGTGTGTGTGTGACTCTGTGTCTCCAGAAAGAGTTTTTCCAGGATGACGTGTACACCGACACCGCTGTCTGTTGGGAACCAGCACTGACGGCCTCTGCCTGGCTGTCGGGCTCCAACGGCCAACACAAAAAGATCAGCCTGAAGCCTAAAGACATGACGCCAGGTGCTGACATGGACCATATGCATACACACCACGGAGCTTTGTCCAACACATCTCTCTACCTAGATGGAGATGCTACAGTCTACATGTACGTATATTAGATTTGTGGTTTCTGATTTTGACTCTGCGTGTTTTTTTCAGTGAGTGAGGCCCCCAAAGAGGCTCCAGTGAGGAAATATCTGCCCTCGTCAGTTTACCTGGAGGAGAAGACTGATGAACAGAAGAAAGAGGAGGTGAGGATGAGCTCCATCTCGCGTGTGTCGTGATGATCTACGACGCACGTCAAAATCCTACAGCTGAATAAACGTAGCGGTATATTTTTACTCGTGTGTTTTAACGCTGAATGCGTGTCTGTGTGGCCCAGCTGCTCAGCGCCATGGTGGCTAAGTTGGGGAACATGGACGAGCCGCTGCCACAGGATTCCTTCCAGGGGGTCGACGAGGACGAGTGGGTGAGTGAATGTGATGGAAGCAGCTAATGACATGTCATGCTTTAAGCTAGTTATTTTACTACCACTGTATATAAGTATGTGTATCATCATATGATGATATGACAAATGTTGGCAAAATCACATTTAAACTAAATAATTTGATTATCTTCAGTGGAAAGATGTAAAACAAAAATGTGTTTTTAATTAGAATTATTAATTTCAACACCAGTTTTGATAAATGATAACACAACATCATCGTATCACAATAGTCTTCCACTGAATGCCGATAGCTTAACATCCAGTACTGAGACAGCAGGGGCCGACGAGGTACTCGAGTAAAGCAGATGTATTACAAGACTCTAATGATTAATCCATCTCTGGTAACTGTGCCTGTTGTGTCGTCCAGGATGACTAGAGCGGACGCCATCTTGCCTTTGATTCAATCCTGGTGCCGACAGCAGAGAAGAGACAACTTATCTACGGTCCTCGGAGCTTAATCAGCGAACATCTCATCCTACGGCGCGCACAAAGAATACTGTACAATGTGAAAATGATATGGCGGGGAAAAAAATCACAATAATCTTAACACCCTCTGGTATCAGTATCCATCACTATATCTGTAAAGGTTTGGGAAATCAAATGTCATGTTGTCTAGTTTGGTGTTCATCATATCCGACTGCATGAAATGTTATATGAAAATCATTTTTTGGTTGTAATCTTTAAGATTTAAGATCAAAATGATGTCACACTATTCATGATATTTGGAAAGAAATCCCACCATTCCGGATAATACAACAGTAAATATGAGAAAATAGTTCATAGTTGATTGAAATCATAAGTCAGGACACCTCAACACTGGTAAAGCAACCTTCTAAGTCAGGATCAGTGGTTGTAACAGACCAAACTGATCTTTTATTTTTTTCTCTGATATGCAGCCAGGGTTTAAGCATGGTAAAACACTCTGAGGTGTCCTTATATATAAATAATAATGGCCTCCTCTTGTGCCCAGTCTGTTATTTTCTGCTAAGATGCCAGGTTGTGTATCGTTGCATTGTGAGTGCACATTTACCTCCAGCTGTGGACCACTGCTTGCTTCTTTCTTTGTTTTTCTACTGGCTAATCATTCGAGCGCGCTCATTCACGATGTGTCTTCGAAGGATGTAATGTTGTTAATGATCTCGTCGCGTGAGTGAATCTCTCGTCTTCCTGTTCGATCAGGTAAAATGCACACACACACAGGATTACTGTAACACGTTCAAGCCTTCAGCAGCAAAAACCACACTGAGGATACAACAGGGTCACCAGTGTTCATGTTTGGCCATGAACTGGGATTTCTTATGACAACATTAAGTTCCCTTTTTCTTTGTTAGCCAATGATAGAACAAAATGCCATTTTAACAATAATGTGTCATTCATAGAATTGATCAAATGTTTTGCCATGCGGTAGTCTTATTATAGTCTTATAACGGTTAAAGGTTAATGAAACTAAGATGCCAAACCACCTCTTTTTTTTAGTTTTTAGAGGGGCCTTTGTATACTCTAAGATGATTATTTACTTTCTTTCTTTTCTTTTTAGCTGGGCAATGTTTAATCATGATCTTTGTTGCCAGACTGTTTGGGGATATTCCTCACTTAAATGAGCTAATTTTCTTATCTAATGTTAACTAGCAGTAAGTAAACACGGTGTTATTAGCCAATAACAGTACAGTATTAATAACTTGCAAAACAGCCATAACAGGTGTCATGTAATCTCCAATCAGGGCTACAGCAATAATCAAGTCTTGAACCCACCAACAACCGCTGATGGACCATCGATTCAGCCGTGCGCGGCCATGCACCTCGTGTTGAACAGGTGACCTGCAGGTGTCGTCTGTGTTTGTGTGATGTACACTGTATGTGCTTGTGATTCTCAAACGCCATACTTTGTAATATTCAGATTGGATTAGCTGCCTTCCATTGTGTTAAAGATAACTTTCCTTTTTATACACTGAGTAGAGCATTGTTGTTGTTTTGTCTGTCGTACTTGAGGAATGGTTTGTGGAATTTTTTTCAATATTGTCTCGCAATAAAAACATATTTGAACCAAATACTACTTTTCGTTTTGCATTATTGTCTCTTCGGTGGAGACGTTTGGCACAGAAAATAAATAAGTGCATAACAAAAGAATAAATATACAAACAAATTGATTGTGCTCTTTACTATATTGTGCATAATATTGTTTATATTAATGTTATGAAATACATTCTTTTATTATAGTTTGAGGGTAACATGTGGTCAGGGACGACGGATGGAAATGAGCCTTCTAAACTAACTTGCTCAGTGATAAACTAATAGAATACAATAAAGAGCTGTTAAAATAAATATTGTTTTTGTTTCTGATGTGTAAACATGTCTACCTGCTGGAGAGAACAGCATCAAGGCAGACAAGCCTGACATGACTGTTGGTGATACTTTTAAAATAAAGTGAAGTTATTAGAATAAGGGGTATGATAATGTGATAATGTGAGCTGGAACATGTTGCCGGTGAGAGGGAGGTCTGGGTCGGCCTGCTTGACCTGCTGCCACCGCGACCCGACCCAGGATAAGCGGTGGAAAATGGATGGATGGATGGATGGGTATGATAATGTTAAGTGTTCACTTTAGTAGTCTCAGTTAAAAGCCTGCTTTAGTCTTCATTGGGGACATACAGATATTTATGCAGCATATTTCAGCTTTTAGTTATTTCAGAATAGTTGCAGAATATATGAGAGAGAGAGAGAGAGAGAGAGAGAGAGAGAGAGAGAGAGAGAGAGAAGAAGAAGCTGCAGTTGACCTCCAGGCCACTAGGTGTCAGTATTATAAACGACGCTGTCCACCTGCTTTCTCTTGGATTCTGTGCTGTCGGCGCTTCCTTGAACTCTGACCCTTAACTAACCTTCATTGGGGTACATGTGTGACAACAGACAGCCGCTCACTGTCTCGAGGACCTGTTTAATATTATAAAATGGTAAGAATAGATTTGCTGTCGCTAACGTTAGTGAGTCAGTTGTCATGCTAGGTAGCATTAGCATGAGACGTGTGCTTCAGCGGTGTCATGTCGCATGTAACGTTGCATAAGGTAGCTGCCTCTTCACAGGGACGTTGTGAATTTGATTTAGGGAGAAAATAATGTGCCAACATGTATGTTCATTAATGTCCACAGCTGAATTAAAGGTGCTCCTTACATCATCACCTGCAGACACTCATTACCTCATGACATCAGCTTAATTGATTTTGGACTGATGTGGGACTCTGTAACGTCACTGTTCAAAATGAGGACCACTGAGTGACTTTAACTCGCTCTCTGTTCTGGTTCCCATAACTGTCGATGTGGAGATCCACGTCTGCGGATTGTGTTTTGTGATTTAAACTGTGCAAACCTGAAGTTGTTTCGTTTCCTCTGCAGGCTAAATATCTTGCACAGATCATTGTGATGGGAGCACAGGTGGTGGGACGTGCGTTTGCTCGTGCTTTACAGCAAGAAATTGCAGGTATGATCCATGTGTTTAATATTACTATATATTTTTAGCAGATGTTACTGAACCGCTTTTTTGCAAATAACTTCACGTGGTTATCTACATCGGACACATCATTCACAACTAAAAGCATGCCGTGTGTTTGCTCAACACTACCATTGAAATCACCTGCACCCAGAATGCACCTGTGAAGACACCTGTAACCAATTAGATCACTTAATCAGAGCTTGAACAGGATTCAGGTTTGCTCTCTGGGTGTGCACAACAATGGAGGGCAATGAGAGAGAGAGAGATTTTGTATCTGATTCTTAGTTAAATCATTTTAGCTCTATGAAAAACACTCTTTGCCCTTTACATTCACTTATATTGTCTGCTGAACTGAAGTTGTGAGTATTTGTGTTGTTTCTCTCGCAGCCAGTCAAGCAGCAGCGAAGGCCAGGAACAGTGCGGGTCAGCACTCTGCTGCAGCCTCTAGCATCACTGGGATGAGCCTGCAAGAGGCACAACAAATCCTCAACATCTCCACACTCACCCCCGAGGAGATTCAGAAGGTGCGAACACACCGTCCGTCTCCTTTAGAGTTTTGTAGCTAACAAAGTGTTGGCACCAAGCTACAGAGCCATCGAGCCTTTTAGTAATGTAGCATTGGCTACATCGGTCATTACAGATCTTGTTGGCCAAATCAAAATGTGTTTCAAAATGATTTTCCTTCATTGTAGCGTGCATGTGCTACAAAGCCCTCAAACACAGTTTTAATAAACATGGTTTATTTTCTTAGTTTATTAGACGTTCATCAACATCAAATGTTTCTTTACCTTGTGTTGTGACAGTGTTTAGAAAATAGGTCGAGGTTCTTCCCTGTTCTGAAAAGTGTTTTCCTCTTCCAGAACTACGAGCACCTTTTTAAATCCAATGACAAGTCAGTGGGCGGGTCATTTTACCTCCAATCAAAAGTAAGTATTCTGTTTCTTAGGATGCTACACGATGATTTTCCAATGTGTTGTAGAGTGGACAGTGAAGGCAATTTATCGTTTAGAGGAGAACCGAATATGACCTCATTGCAATTATGTTTAGCTCACTAAAATACAAAAACGGCATCAGAACATATAAAACGAATATGACATCAGGAAGCCATCAAACCAAATGTTTTAAATCATGGCTTAAGACATCAAAAGAATACTTTTGATTTTTGTGAAGTAGTACTTCAAGTGAAGTGGTATGATAAGGTACTTATCATAGTCAGTGTATCACCTTCATTATGTTTAGGTGTTAAATACCGTTTAGCTTTAGCAGTCCAGCTGACCAAAACCATAAGAAGTTGAATGTTGGCACCGTTTTGTAAACTCTTTTTAAGATTGACTGACTCTCTGAGTCTCCTAAGAAGATTTAACCTTTGCCTTCATATCGTGAAGTTATGGCTTTAGTCATTTTAGTGTAGCAGTGTAGTGCTGTACCAAAATATTTAACACCTTTTTTGCAGTTTCAACAAATCGACTGTCGCAACTGTGTCGTGTTTAAAATGATGATGTGACTGTTTTTATCTCTCGCTCTCTGCTCTGAGTGAACCATAGTGTGAATTGGTTGTTTTAAGTGTCTTCTCTTTATTTTAAGTCTCTTCTCTTTCACTCGGTCATTATTGTTATTGGTTGTGTGCAGGTGGTGCGGGCTAAAGAGCGTCTCGATGAGGAACTAAGTATTCAGACACAAGACCATCAGCATTCACAGCAGAAAACGGAAACATGAAATTATGCGTGCCCTGTCTCTCCTCTCCCCATCCGCTGTAAATTATATCCCAATAAAAGCCTTTTCTCTAGTCTTGACTCTGTGGCATTTTAACAATAAAATATGGGCTTATTCATTTTTTTTTTTTTTTTAAGACGACTCTTATGTAAAATGGTGTTTATGGTTTCAGATGACCTAAATCCAAAAATAAATGTATTTATTCATGTCTGTTTCAGCTGAATACAGTGAATGAAAGTGCAGCATGTCGACTATTAATCAGGATAATATGATTGTTTTTATTCCGTTGAAGTGTGGTGGCGTATTTGCACATTTCTATAAGATGGAAATTATATTTTTGGAACAGAAATGAATACACGAGTTGTATCAAATACAACTTTATTAAACACTTTTCTTTTCATTGACATTATCATCAATATCGTAATAAAATTCCTCTAAAACAGGAGAACACCGCTATGTTGTACCAATTTGAGACTTTTACAACTCTAAAATTCTGCATGTTCAACCACAGAACATGATGCCAGGAAAAATATATTTTCATATAATCATTTTTTTTTCATATAGTGTATAACTTCTGTATTTTACCTATAATAAAAAGGCACTTGGAAAAATTAAAATACTGACAATATCTCACAAATGTGCAAAAAACATAACTTGGAACAGGCCTTGCGTGGCCCTAGTCTCATCATTAACCCTTTGTGCAACACTGTGGCACTCCGGTCAATGGCACCCCTTTATAATGACACTGACCTAGCTAAAACAAATTCTGCGCCCTGGATTTCAGTTCCACCTTTTCATAGCATTAAGTGAATATTACTTTAAAGTCTCCAGGAGCAAGTACCAAAACAAGACATCAAATTCAGACATTTTAACGACTTAGGATGACTTTTTTTACAATTATTCTTGGTTCTCAAAAACAACTGCTGAATAGCGCTGTACACTGAGAAAGGATGTGGCGACATCCCCGTATCTACACACGTTATGGGGGGCGACAAAAGTGCAGTTCATTACAGACTGAGCTCAAAGGGTTAATGGATCATACAGCTTATTTGATAATTCGAAAAGATGTGGACCCTGTGAGGGTCCGTGTCATATTATTCAGCTTTCTGCCGCCTCGTTCTCTCTCTCTCCCTGTCTCTTCGATCTGCAGGAGAGAGAGGGAGACAGACGGGGTGGGGGGGGGGGGGGACAGACGGGGGGGGGGGGGGGCAACAGGGGGGGGGGGGAGGAGAGGTGGGTTTCACTGTTGCCACGGAAACCATGTCTAGCCTACTTAACACCTGTTTCTGATGACATCACATGCCAGGGTTGTCCTCTCGCAATGAGAGATTCACTTCGATGCCCAGGCTGAACCCAGAGAGATGCTGCTGTGTGTGTGTGTGTGTGTGTGTGTGTGAGAGGGGGGGTGTTTGAGATAACAATGACTAAGAATCACTGAAGCAGAAACAAAGGTTTGTAGTTCATCTCTGCTGTGAACCCTCACAGACCTGTGGGAGGCCTCAAACAGGAAGGGTTATGGTTGTTTTTGTTTACTGTGGCTTGTTAGTCTGTTTTCCCCATCTCTGGTAAAATGCTTTGTGGCCGGGAGGTGGGGGGGGAGTGGAGCCTTTTGGGTTTAATCTATAAAAAAAAGAAACCAGCCAGAGGGCAGACAGAGTTCAGTGGCCTAGTTCTGTGCAGCCTGGTATGCCCGTGAGTGGCTGCCACATCGGGCACAGCACAGCCAGTGACTTCAGAGCCGAGAGGGCCGTTTGCCGGGTAGGTGACCAGATGGAGAGCGGCTGCACGTAACAGCTATCCTCTGCTTCTTCTCCTCCGCTGGCACACTGCCTCTCTCCCCCCCCTCCCCCCTCCCCCCTCCTCATCTCTTCCTTTCCCTTGTCCATTCATTCAGCCAATCCTGTCCCTGTTTGCTCTCATGCTTTCCCAGTGCTGCCCGCCATTTCACAGTCGGATGTTATTTCTCTACGGACTCCCTTTATCTAGTGGTGGAAATTAAAAGTCAGAACAAAGGAAGCAGAGTTTGCAGATCTAATTTAGCCCCGGAGATAATTCAGTTGGGACACTTAATACAGACTTGTATTTTATGCCTACACCATCTCTAAATGATCCCTTAATGTGATTGTCATGAAAAAATGTGATATCATTTGGTCCACTAGATATTTTCCCCCTAGAGCAGTGGTCGCCAACTTTTGTGGCTTGCGGGCACTTAAATGAAGCAATATCATCCCCTTATCACGGCCTGGGTTTACACATATGAGCAGTTCAGCTAAAGAGTGATTTCTCTTTCCCACATTATTGTAACCATATTCAGTATTTCACAAGAAACGAGACTAAGAGTCTACAGCCGTGCTATCAGCTTTGGCTGCGCTTGGGCACACCTGTGTTAAAAGCTAACATCAGAATTGTAACATGCTCACAGAGACTATGTCTCACAGAGACTATTTATCGGGCTCACCATCTCATTTTAACATATTGCCGTGCTAATATTCGCTAATTAGCACTAAACAAAGTGCAGCTGAGGCTGTCAATGTCATTAGTTTTGCGGGATTTTGGTCATAAACTTAAGTATCGGGCAAATTTAAATTTTGACCCTGTGATATCACTATGTAAAGACGGGGAATCGCCAAAGTCCTTAGGGTTCATCCTCTGGGGAACATGAATGTCTGTACAAGATGACATGGCAATCCATCCAATTGTTTCAATATTTCAGGTTCGACCGACCAGCCGTGCCATCTATTGAGCCACATTGCTAGCATCGCTTAAAAGCAAAACAAAATAGGAGGGGAAGTCTTCAAAAAAATAACCACATTTTGTGTAAAAGATACCTTTTCCTCCTTCTTATACTAAATGTAATCACCATATGACCCCCCCGGTTAGGAACCACTGCCCTAGAGCCCCCCCCCCCCCCCCCAAACCTCTCCCTCTCGTCTTCTCCTCAACCCCGTCAGTGACTCATCCTCGACAGCAGAAAGCTGAGTGCAGAGCAGCCGTCACAGAACACAACAAGCAACTTCAACATCAGAAAAAAATGTCTCGTCTGAACAGCAAAAACATAAACATAATGACAACAATAAAAATAAAAAAAAACCGCAACAACTGATTATTTGTAAGACTGGGCGATGGAAAAGTGAGACCACCGACATAAGCAGAGATGGAGGAGTGAAGTAAGAGGAGGGTAGTTTGTGACAGTCTCTTGAGGGAATGTTCCCGGTGTTGTGACGATCCTCTCCTGCTCCCTGTACCTCTCCGCTGGGTCAACATCGTGCATGCATTAGCACTGAGCAGGCCTGCAGTGACTCCACAGCAAAATAGACCCTTGCAGAAAAAAGAGCAATCTATTTTTGCAGTTGGCAGTAACATTTTGTAAAACATGTAAGGAATATATGTGGTAAGTGCGTGTAGACGGCTTAATCGAACCGTGAGAAACGTTTTCCCAGACGTCAAATGAGTCTTTTTTTTTTTTTTTTTCTTTTGCCCCTTTGGACAGCGTAAAATGAGGCAGTTTGCAATAGTGTGGCTTTCTCGTCAGTCCAGCTGTGTATGTGGCATTGAGTGCTTCACAACCCCCTCTGTGGCACAATACATGCGTTCCCTCTTTCCAGCTCTCCAGGTATTTTTGGCACAGCATGGGACTTGTTGAACTTGGGACAAAACTTCAACCGACCAGGCTAAGTTTGGGCTTCGGCTGGACGACCACCTGTTTTTCACAGCTGGTTTCAGGTCGGTTCGCTTTTTTTTTTAAAAACAAGACACTAGTGTTTATCGCCACAGTGGCCTTTTCATACACAAACTGGCCGTGTTGATTCAATTTCAGGAAAGCAGCTGGACAATCCAGAAGTGGAAACAGTGCGAGTTCTGTAAATGGAGAGCGGAGACGCTGTGTATCGAGTCCTGCCAGAGGGGGGAGCCAGACACACTGGGGGTTTACTTATCACTTGTGTAAAAGAAAGTAAGTGATGATTGGTCATTATCAGGTGATGCAACACCGTCTGTCTGTGTTAAGCCACCAGTTCACTCTGTGCCCTAAAAAGCCCCTAGTCTGCACACATTCTGGTGGACTAGGCTGGTCCATCTTGGTCACCCTCCCCAAACTGGGGACAGATTGTCAAAAGTGCTCTCTCCCAGTTCATGTTACACCGAGGGAGCTGAGAGGTTAGCAGCAGTTTGGAGGTTTCAGTACGATAACCAGCTGACACTATTAAGTGCTGTGTTTAATTGAACTGTCTCGGAGCTGAAACTGCAAACCCAAGACCGTTTGAGTTCACTTGCTTTGGTTTGGCAAGCCTGTCTGAATCATATTAATCACAGCCGCCTGTGAAAAATAGGTCATAACTTCAAAATCAACTGTGGAGAATCGTCCTATTACGTGCAAGTTTGCCTAACTGTGAGTGCGTCATTCAGTTACACGGTACATCTATCTCACTGCTACGCCGGAGGCACACTGTCTATGCGGCACAGTTATATAAATACTTATCAATGTATCGGGACTTTTGTAAGAACACAGAGCACTAAGACTGTCACATCAAGGAAACAGGAATGAATAAAGAATAAAATACAAAATAAGAGAGCAAAGAGGAGCCCATTGTCGGGCCTTGTGATAGAAATACGGAGCCGTATATGGTCCTGAACAGAGTTCTTGGGCCCCAAGTTAGAGTTTCCCATCAATACAAGAGGCTTGCGTTGTGTAGGTGTAGTGCTATCTATTGTTTTGCTGATTGAGGGTTTGATGAGTTTCTATAGTTTTTCTCCGTTTCTCTGAAATGCGTTGCCTGGGTTTGATTGTGCGAGCCAGTCCCTGTCACCCTTGACCGTGTGTTCCCCCACTATGGCGTTCACCCTCCCATCCCGACCCCCTGAGCTCTTCTGGAATGTGTGTGTGTGTGTGTGTGTGTGTGTGTGTATGCATGTAATGTGTGTATCAGTTGACCACAGCTGGCTTGAGCACCACGGTGCCTGGGGGGATGACCACCCAGGACAAGGGATCATGGGAGCCCGTGGAGAGGTTCAAGACCCCCCCGGTCACCTCGTTCTCTGCCTCCTCCTCCCGTCTCCTCTTGGCCTGTTGGCTGTGGGACCTGCGCTCAGACGAGGCCCCCAGCATGGGCATCATCGACAGGCCCAGGGCCGAGGAGGGGAAGCCTGGGGAGAGCAGAGGGGATTTGGCCAGGCCCAGCGCGGAGCCGTTGAAGGACAGGATGGACGCGCCTCCCAGGCTGCCTGGAGGTGAGCCGGGGCAACCGAGCGCGCTGAGATCCAGCGGCCGAGGACTGAGGGCGGACATGGGAAGGGCACCACCCAGACCCTGCAGAGCGTGGCCTCCAAGGAAAGCAGCCGCTGCCCCTGGGATGATAATGTGGGCCGCACTCACATAGGACAGCTCTGAATCCTTGCCCCTTCCGCCAGCAAGCACTCCACTTTGACTCCCCCTCAGCAGCGAGCCCACCCCACCCGAGGAGCCCTGCTCCTGAGTCACAAAGTGGCCGTGGGCCTTGATGTGCTTGCGGAGAGAGCTTGGGTCTGTGTAGCGCTTCAGGCAGCCCACCATCTTGCAGTAGTAAGGCTTGTCCACATAGTGCGTGCGAGTGTGCTTGAAGCGGTCGCTGGAGTTTGAGTAGCGCTTGTTGCAACCCTCGTAAGGACAAATGTAGGGCTTTTCACCTGCAGTGAAGGAGAAATGATCCAAATGTTGAGAATGCAGTGACCAAATCTCACAATTTTACTTTTTGAGCATTTTGACTTTAGCGGTGGCGTACTGGGTGCGGCTGTACCACTGACCTGTGTGTGACCGGTTGTGTATCTTGAGGTTCTCCAGGCGTGAGAAGCTCTTGTTGCAGGTGGGACAGCGATGGGGCTTCTCGTTAGTATGAGTGCGGATGTGGATGAGCATCTTGTACCTGCAACAAAACAAAAACAAAAAAATTCCTCTTTAATTCTCCACTGATACCAACACTTAATAAATTACCCAAGTGTCTGATTTTCTCACCTAGCATTGAAACCCCTCCCTTTGCGAGCACAGCCCTCCCAGTGGCAGCAGTACCCAGAATTCTTCTCAGGCTTGACATGGAAGTCATTGACATGGTCCACCAGGTCTTGCAGGGAGTCAAAGAGCAGGTGGCACTGGAGGAGAGAAAGCATTCAGCATTTCAAATGAGTCGTAAGTGGTGATAATGCTATTTTGAGTTGATCTTAGTTTGGAAACAACAGGTTCATAAAATGGGTTTTACTCTCTTGGTCTTACCTTCTTCCAGTGGCAGGCCAGCTGTTCATCCGCCGATAGGTCAGGAGAGGCTCTTCTGTCGCTAGTCTGTCCAATGAACATGGAGGATGGCAGGTGAAGTCCCGCCCCAGCTCCGATTGGCACGAAAAACTGAAAGGCCTGTGAGATGTGAGAATTCTGGTAAACGAGCAGAACAAAAGGAAAAAAGAGCAACAGGATTATGAATCCACTGCACACAAAAGAAAGAACCATGCACATGTTTAGCTTTAGTTCAAAAAGGTAAAAACTGATGCTCTGATAGCACCATCTACATGGCAATATTGACAATAGGCCGTCAGCTGGGTGACGCAAACAGGTTCTGATGGCCTCGCTAAGAAGATAACTTGATAGAGACAAACGTCTTTCTTTTTGTCAATGGAGTACAGAACAGCTGATCTTCATCTCTTCTTTCAAAACTCCACTTTTTCTCTTGTAGTCACCCGCTGCGTGCTACAAAACCTCCCTACATCCCCGAGCTCGGCATGAGAGCTGCAAGATTCATTGAACCTCAGCTGGGGCTCAAAGAGCTAATGCACCGGCTTACACACACACACACACACACACACACACACACACACACACACACACAGAGCTAACTTAGCTCAAGCCAAAAACTGAGAGGAGTATTGGTGAAAAGTGGAATTTTGTCTCATCTTCATGTGTCAGAAATGAGTACTTGATCAATTTCATAAAATCACGCATATTTCCCTGCATTCTGCCTCTGTATGTGAGCCAGTTTGTGAGATGCTGAAGGGGAGAGAACGTGTGAGTATGTGTGCAGCTGTTATTTTATAACAAGCGCTTACTTTTGTACGTGTGTGAGAGAGAGAGAGAGAGAGAGAGAGAGAGAGAGAGAGAGAGAGAGAG